CCCCCGCCGGCCCTGGCCGGGCCGTGTGGCTCCCCCGTCTCACACAGCCCCGGTGGTGGCCGCCTGCAGCCTGAGCCGTACCTCTGCCGTGGTCTTCACCGCGTACTTGACCCTGCTGCGCAGCCCGTCGGCACTGCAGCTGTCCGACTGGTAGGAAGGGGTGACGTGGGCAGGCGCGAGCTTGTCACAGAGGTTGATGGGCTGGTCATCGGCGGAGGTGGTGAAGTCCATGGGGGCCGCGGTGCCATTTCCATTCATTTCGGGGAAGGCGCTGTCGCCCTGCGTGCTGCTGGAGGTGGAGGGGTTCAGGGTGGAGGAGCCATTCCCGCTGCAGCTCTCTGACGAGGAGTCATCTGCAAGAAAGGACATGTGGTCACCGCCGTGGTGCCTTGGGACCATGTCCTCATGGTGCCAGCCTCCCCTGAGCCCACCTGCAGGACCACCGGCACGTGCAGCGTGGATGTGCCATTGTTTTGACAGCCCCTGCCTGGCCGGGGTGGCTCTGGGCTCACTTGGTGGCTGAGTTTTCACAGGCGCTGCCGAGAGCCGGGCCAGCACAGGGGCACTTTGGGCCCTGGGATGCAGCAGCTGGAGAGAGGGACACCGGTGCCTGCGGCTGCAGGGCCATCACACAACTCTGCTCCCTCGTCCCACAAAGCACGCTGGACACTGCCGTGCCCCACGCCTGGGCCACTCGTTCCTCCAGCAGGTGATGGTCCCCACGCCTCCACCTGGGGCCACGGCGGTTTGGCTTGAATAAGAACTTTGGAATTTGGTCCTTTTCGGTTTCTGTTTGCATTGCAGGGAGGAGAAAGGGGCATTGCCTCTCCCTGCCGGGTCCCTCGCCTCCCGGTGCAGTCCTCCCAGACCCATTTGGGGCTGGGTGTGGTGGGAGGCAATGAGCTCCAGCACCAGCGACTCAGGGACATGCTGGGGTGTGGGGATGGCACACGAGGACAGGCTCGCTTGGACGGGAAAACCCTGAGTTCATGCCACCTGGAAGCAGCATTAGGAACTCTGTTGACAGCGGACACGCCACCCGGGAAGGCTCCTCGGCACGCAGCTGCCGGGACAGGGCAGGGACTGCACAGACATCACTCCTGTCCCACTCAAAGCCCAAGTGACCTCCTTCACCCTACACGGGCACTCCTGCTTCCCTGTTTCCACATACCCCAGAGCCATCCCCATGGCAGCTGCATGGCCGCCCCTTTCCCCCACCACCTGAACAGGCAGAGCCTGTGGTCCAGGGGCCCGGCCACGGTGGTGCCGCGCACAGCCGGCACGCAGCCCGGCTCCTGCTTGCTCTCGGTTACATTCACACCTCCAGGTCCTGGCACCGTCCCCTGCCCATGCACGGCTCCCACCACGCTGGTCTCCCGCCTTGTGCTGCTCTGAAGAACAGTCCGGCCATGGCAGAGAGCCCGGCCTTGCCCGTGCCCAGCGCTGCCTGCACCCAGCCCTGTCTGCACCCGGCCAAAGAGCCCAGCCCCGGGGCCAGGCATGACATTTTCAAACTGCTCAGCCCGTTTCCCCTTCCCTCCCTCCCCCTCGCTGCAGTAAATCCTTTATTTCATTAGGTGCCTCCGCGAGAGGGAAAGGGCGAAGCACGTGGGGAGCCGCTTCCTGCGCGAGCGTGCGCCGGGCGGCGAACAAAGAAGCTGCCGGCAGCGACAAGCAGATGGCGGG